ATCATCTGCGGACCTAGAAACCTGAGCTCAGCTGGGTGGGCCTGCTGAGGCCTAGAGAAGCCCTGGCCCAGACTTCCTACAGTCATTTGACTCTGTGGCTGTCTCTGGTTCTCCTCCCTATCCCTGTTTCTTTTCCTTCCTTCTTTCTCTTTTGTTTGGGTTCTTTTCTTCCCTCTTCCCTCCAGCCAGTCCTCTCCCCTTTCCATTCCCCCCGGTGAAGCAAATATCCACGAGATAACTTCTGCTGCTCACTGGTCAAGAATCGAGCTGCATCTTTCGACTCTTCTCTTGCAAACCTTTTCTCCTTATAAAAAGAAATAGAATTTCAATTCCACCAGATAAACCATTTAACACTTTGTTCTTTCTCCCTTTCTCGCCTCAGTTCCCTACACTTTGCACGTGTACTGCAAACACTGGCAATACGTTAAGCTTTTAAGTAAATTCTTTCGTGTGTATATCTGAGTACATAATTTTGATGCTTTTATAACTTTGCGTAGAGATCTCTTTCTGCTTAGATACAGTTCAATTATGTATTTAGTATATTTTGCTTTTTAAAGTTCCTGATATCTTTATGGGTGCACATTTTCTAGCTTTTGATTCTATTGTAATATCCTCTTGATTATCTTAAAATTCCTCCTCCTAGTCTTTAGATAAACTCTCCCTATATAATTCAGGGTAGTTTTGAACTGGAAACCACCTCCTTCCTGAGTGCTGTAATCCCAAGAAAGCAACAACACACCGCCCATATGAACAATTCTGCATCTGCTCTCTTGTGCTTACGTGTAAGAATTTCCCTTGGGTGATGCCTACAAGTAGGATCGTTGGACCTCAAATGGTACCAGTTTCTAGTGTTGCAGAATGCTGGCACTGTGCCCTTCAGAGTGAGTATTCCAGGTCACACCCTTCCCAACGGTGTGAGGAAATTCCCTACGTCGTTAGCCACGAGTCAGTGCCAGATATTAAATACCTGATCAACCTAGTGGGGATGGAGAGACAGGGCAGCGTTGCTTTTGTTTGTGGGTTTCATAATCCTATGGGTGAGCAGCTTCCCATGCGGCTCCTGGCCACTTTCGTTTTCCTCTGTGGCTTGCCTGTTAGCCTCACTGGCTTCCCTTCTACTTAGGATTCCTCACTTGGTGGTAACTAAGCAGAATCTCCTTTCTCTCTCTTTTTTAGACTTTTTTATTTTTACTTTATGTGTGTGAGTGTTTTTTGCCTGCATGGATGTCTGTGCTCCAGGTGCATGCAGTACCGACAGAGGCCAGAAGAGGGCACTAGATGCTCTGAAATGGAGTTCCAGACAGTTGTAGGCCAGGATGTGGGTGCTGGGAATTGAGCCTGAGTTTTCAGCAAGAACAGTCTGTGCTCTTGGCTGCCGAGTCATATCCTCAGGTCCAAACAGAGTTTCTTAGGGGTAGATGGCAGGAATAATGTATAGTTACCAGCAGGTTGTGGACTTCTGGGCTTAGATAAGAACCAGGAGCAACCTTGGGGTCAGTTTCCTCTGAACAGAGCTGTGTTCCCAGCATCCCTTTCTTCACTCTCCATGGCCATTTCTGATAATGTTGCATGGCCTTTGAGTGGTTTTCAGAAAAACCGATCTGTTGTTAGATCCAAGAATAATCATCTTTCACTGGGCTGCTTGCTTTCTCGTGAGTAGAGTGCATTTATCATCCATTGACAAGCTTGGTCTTCTTGTTTTCTTAAGGATTTGCAACCAAAAACCTTAAAAACAAAAATATAACTCTGCTCACAAGTCTGTATTTTTTTGTTTTGTTTTTGCTTGTCTGTTTTGCCTTGTTTGAGACAGGTTCTCACTGTGTCGCTCTAACTGTCCTGGAACTCACTCAGTAGACCAGACTGGTCTCAGACTCACAAAGATCCACCTTCCCCAAGTGCTGGGATTAAAGGTGTGCACCGTCATGCCCAGTCAAGTGGATGCTTTTTACACCTCAATTCTTCACCTCGCTGGCATCTCGTCTCTGCCCTCTTTCTGCTCATTGTGCTTTCCTGAGCACCATTGGGTCATGTATAATCTAAATAGCGGGTTAAAGTGAAATAAATGTTTAAGTATGGTACAAACAACTCAAAGAAAGGCTGAAGTAAAGATAAATGTTTCGGCCCTCGATGCTGCTTAGATACCCTCCTGGTGTGGTGGGCGTTTGTCTTCTCAGGTGGATTCAGTGCTGATCCCTGTGGAAAGGAAAGAAGACGTAGAGTGTAGTGGGTTCTCACCCCGCCCATAGCATTGATCTCCCTGGCCTGGTAGAGGCGGGATGAAGACCTACTGCAGCCAAGGGGTTCAGAAGGACCACACAGGCTACCTCAGGTACACACTGGCAGGTGAGCTTGTCTGCTGCTCCAGTGTCAACTCCAGAGAGGTCTCCCCCACCGATTCTTCTTTTCCTGCTGCTGTGGCAGAAAGATGCTAAAAATACTCAGCAGGTCTGGAATCCAGGCCTCAGTGCAGCTTACTCACCGAAAAGAATGAGGTCACTGTGGTCTTATTGAAAACGTTAGTGCTATGAAATTCTTGGAAAAATGTCTCCAAAATGTGATGATTTTGAAACATTTCATAAAAACTTGATGTCAAAAATGGAGCATTTGGTTCAAGTCTTAATATATTTCCTTGATCTGTGGCTGATGGGTGGGGGAAGGGATTGCCATTAGCGACATCACTCCTGTCTTGTGTCCTGGGAAGAGGCTGGTCTTGGGTTAAGAATCTGGAGCTTGAGAAGCGGTTGACCTTCTGTTTTGGAGGCTGGGTTTTTGATGTTGTGTTTGTATGGCTCCTTTTAAAATGATTTTGATATTGGTGTAACTTATACACTCAGTCATTCAATTTTAATTTTAACGTGCCCTAATTATGTTTCCCCTTTCTTCTTATGGATGTGTGTGTGTGTGTGTGTGAAGTGTGTGCATCTGTGTGTGTTCCATCTGTACATATGTGTAAGGGCATTCTTACCTCTGTGTGGTTGTGTGCAGGCCAGAGCTCAACTTTAAATGTCCTTCTCTGTTGCCCATGGGATTTGCTCATCTCCATACCCGTAGAATTAGGGTTACAGGTGCATACCCCCAACTTTTATATGGGTTCTAGAGACAAACTCAGTGTCTCATGCCTGCACAGCAAGTTCTTTACCCTCCCCTCAGCCCTTGTTTGTCCAAGTTCTTACCATCCATCTTATTGTTGTCTTTTCTCCGTTCGGTAGAGACCCAGAGATACTGGGGGCTCTTGTGTCTCATTATTCAAGACATTTATTCCATTTTAACTCATTGTTAATAGAAGAGTTGTATGTTTGATTTTATGGTATTAATTAAAATGTTATGCATCTTAATATTTTTCAAAAATGACAAAGTAAAATTTACCCAATCATAGCTTCTGTAGTACTTTTGTAACTGCAACTGTTTCCTATCTATCCTTCCATCATCCATCCATCCATCCATCCATCCATCCATACATACATACATACACAAGCCAGCTATCATCCATCATCCCATTCATCCATCCATCTACCTACCAGTATCCTCCAATTCATCATCATCATCATCATCATCCATCTATCTATCTATCTATCTATCTATCTATCTATCTATCTATCTATCTATCTATATCTATCCATCCATACTCTGTGTACTACCTCCTTTGCTTAAGGATAACCTAGGAACTATGGTGCATATTATGAATTATAGAATCAATTCTGTTTTCAAAGAGGCTGTGACCTAAGGCTATAGAGATGGGTTCTTACACAGCTGTCATAGAACACAGAGCACAAAAACCTCCAGGATAGTAATTTTAATAGCTGCATGTTTGCACTATTGGCAACTTTATCGATTGCACATGACAGAAGTCCAGATCAAACTAGTTGAGTAATATCTAGCTTTAGAACTGGCTTGATTCAAAGACCCAGTGGTAGTTTGATGGGACTGTTCATTTCTTTGTCTCATTAGCGCACTTCTTGTTGACTTCATTCTTGGATGGCCCCTTTCTTGTGGTGGATTTGCCCATCCGAAGCCCTAGGCTAGTGTCATTCTTCCTTTATGAGTCCAGAGAATGAGAAAGACCCAACACCTCTCTCCCAAGATTCATAGCGTTAAATCTTTTTTTTTTTTTCTCGAGACAGGGTTTCTCCGTAGCTTTTGGTTCCTGTCCTGGAACTAGCTCTGTAGACCAGGCTGGCCTTGAACTCACAGAGATCTGTCATAGCGTTAAATCTTAAGGATTAGTTTCACTGGTCTCCCTGAGGTCATGTGCACATCTCTCAGCCAATCATCATGGCCAAGGGACTATTATTCTCTGTCATTAGCAAGAGTCCTTAGTTAACTCCTATATTTAGAAGCCTTGTGGGCTGGGGAGGAAGGACAGTTTCCTACAGAGACTTCACTAGGGCCACCTGGGGCTTGTGGAATGTGGTTCATCAAAGGAGCTATTGGACTTGTTGCTGACAAAGGCAGAAGGAGAGAACGCTGGCCAAGAGAAGAACAGGAGGGAGAAGTGGGGGGTGGCGGGAGTGCACTTCATGTTTTAGAAGGGGGAAATGACTGTGTCTCCTGGAATGCGCAGAAACAGGCATGCAACCTTTCTTCCACTTCAGGACACGTTCCGCCTTCCTTCCGCCTTCGCCCAGCCCAGTGGTGGTGCCTTTACAAGGGGAGGGGGACTGAAATTTTTAGGCAGGAAAGTGACACACAATGAGACCCTTGGTGAGCTGGCCAGGGATGGTGAAATCCAGTCATTTTGACTATTGCCTTCCCTAGGAAGAAAGGACTGGGGCTGGATCTAGGGGTAGCTGGAAGAATGGGGGTGATATGATCAAAATAAATTGGACCAAATTCTCAAAGAACCAACAATGCCAAAGGAAGACTGTAGCTATTGTGTTATATAGAGGTGTTGCGTAGGGGACTCCTTGGCCACCTTGGTAAGGTGACATGGAAGTTACCCATCATTCCATGTGAGCATCAGCATTCTGAGTCACCCATATTTCCTTTCTGCTCTGTTACAGTTTCATCGCAAATCAGAAAAGGTTAGAGATCATCAACGAAGATGACGTGGAAGCTTATGTGGGGCTGAAAAACCTGTGAGTACTCACTGCATCCTTACCTCAGACTCTTCTTACGTTCTGCTGTGGTCAGGTAGGCAGCTTGCTGGTTAGTTCTAATGTGAATGCCATTATGTGGTTTCTGTAGGACAATCGTGGATTCCGGATTAAAATTTGTGGCGTACAAAGCCTTTCTGAAAAACAGCAACCTGCAGCACGTGTGAGTAGCCAGCCATTTGTCCAGTATTTTCTCACCCTTGTTTATCTTCCTCCTTCGCCAGCCCCAGCCTTCCCTTTGGTAGTTAGCATCGCCCTGATAGCAGCTTAGGAGCGTTAGCTTTGATTGTGTTTGATTTCAGAATGGCTTTGGGGGTGCTTAGAACAGCCTGTTCATTCCCTTTTGTGAATTTCTGGGCCATTTCCATCTTGGACAGAGCTCTGGGCCAACGGCAAGGACTCTGATGTGAAAACGATGTCCTTGTACAAAGGTCTTGATTCTTTTCTTTGGAATAAGACACACTCCCTGGAAGACATCAAGCTAAGTAATCAAGATGCTGACTTGGCCTTGGATGGCTTAAGGAAATAAAAATTACTAATGCTTTTTCCCTTATAATAGGACCATTTGAGCCTCCATTTTCTCAGCAGCATGTGCCATGGATTGATAAAAATAGAGGAAAGGAAATCAATCACTGACTATGCTAACAGTCCAGATGACTCTTAGTAGTAGGAGCTGCTTTGCCCCGAGTCATGTTGGTATTTTGTTGACTGGAATCCATTGAAAATGCGCAAATAAGAGTTATTATATGGTTTTCTGGTAAGCCCCTCACTGCTACCAGTTAAGTCAACAAATTCTGCGCTTCCTGAGATAGCCTATCAAACAGATGACCCTCAAGACAAAAATGTCATGGTCCCTCCCCCGATTCGGATTCCCTCACACTGTGAGCTTTGGGTGGAATCAGTCTTTTGCTGGAGGGCTGTCATCAGAGTTCTTGCTGACCAAAGTCTCTTGCATTTCACCGTTAGTTGGCCTTTTACCCGCTGGGTCTCACCTGGGCATTTTACTTGCACAGAGCAATGTCTGTATCCCCAGTACACAGACAAAAACCCAGTCTGAGGGAGCTGTGTGACCTACCTGCGGGCCAGCTCTTCACCGTGTTCCTAAGACAGGAATAAGGGAGATAAACTCTCTGCTATCGCTATCATCTTGTAACATCTGCCCCTTCCCCCTCCCTGGGGAAAACAGTTCCCAGGATGGTTTCCATGCCGGTTATTAAAGAATTCATTGTCTTGGATCAGACTGCCTGGGTGCTCTGTGGAGATGTGTTGATTTTACTGAAGACCTTAATTTCATAAAGTCATTATCATGAGTTCATATTTTATATGTGACAGGAATAATGAAGTCACTTTCTAAGATATAAAACATTCTGCAAAACCGGAATAAAACTCTGGGCACATTTTAAAACACTTTTTTTTTTTCTTGAAACACTTCTTGCCAGCCTGTCTGGATTGGTTTGTTGGGGGCAAACCTGATGTGTTGGTAGCCCTTGGTGGCACAGGCATGACAGCAGGGTGAGAATGGAAAAATGTCCCACTGCCACCTCTCAGAAGTAATTAATGACCTTGACAGTTAAGTTTTCGAATTTTCATTACAGATGACCTTAGACCCGAATCACTCAGCAGTTTCATTGTGCGTTGTCTGATTCCTTGGGGGATTGATGCTCCCATTATAATATGAACAGAGGGCCATGGCTAATTGTAATTCTATTGATAGCCCCACGTGTCTTTCTTTTGTGTGTTGCTATGTGAGAGAACAATTTTAATGGTGTTCTCGCTTGCATAGCCATAAAGTTATGCTCCTGCCTCTTGATGTGGTCTTAAGATAGGACACTAAAAAGAGGTAGATATTCTATATAGCTTCCTTACTAGCCTACAAGCCAGGAGCCAATAATTGGTCTAACTTCAAAACCTCTATTGATTTGTGTAGCTATTGTCAAGCAGTAGGACCCAGTGACATTAGGCCAGTATTTAGGCACTCACGAAGAGTGGAGAGAAGACAGCGAGCCTGGGGCTTTCACTTGGAGAAAGGGGCTTTTCCTAGTCACAGAATGAAGCTAGCCTGTCTTGGAGGATGGTAGCGATGGAGAGGGGAGTCAGTTCTAGCATCTGCCTTCTGTCTCAGCTTCTGCTTGGGACTCAGGACCCTGGGGACCAGCTTTTTTTCCCTGGATTTCCTGAATGCAAATTGTACTGACCCCAGTTATCAACACAGTGGGCTCCAAGTGATCAATGAAGAGCTGTGTTCTAAAGCTGTCTCTCCCCAGCCCTAGGCTGGCCTGACAGCCCTTCTTAGCTCCCCTCCTATACAGACATATGGGAAAGATGGGGCTATGGCCCTCCGGGCTTTGAGAAACTTCAGAGGGGAGCCCTGGCTCACCCTTGCCTCAGTTTGCCTAGTCCATGTTAGCCTCACACAGTGACCTCTCAGAGCTCCTCTCTGAATGTGTGTCTAGGTGCCTTTAACTGCTGCCCAGACCCTAAAACCACAGGGACTGTGAGAAAAGCCAGCCTGTGTGTTTTCCAGGGGCTTTGCCGAGGTGCTAATTCTGCTCTTAACAAAGTTTTACAATCGAACAGTAAGAGGATTGTTGATTCTCTTTTCTTCCTTCTTCCTCCTTTTTGGCTTTTGGCCCCATTCCTAAGTATGCTTCATAAAACTCATCTTGTTCTTTGGCTCGTAACCCCGTGCTGCACTGTGCTGCTGGCAGCCCAATAGAGCAGCTGCTTCCCGGGAGGGCAGCGCGGAGCTGTCGGGGGAGGCTGCTCTGCAGGGCAGCGTGGAGCTGATGGGGACTCTTCCCCATTCCTCCCTTTGCTTCCTCTTGCTCCCGGTCTTCGCCTCTTTTTCTCTCTTCCTCTCCTCCACAGCTCCATTCTCACCTCCCTCTCCCTTCTTTCCTCCTCTCTGTTTTTATTTATCTTGGGAGAGAAGAACGGATTTTTTTCTTTTTCCACTTTTTCAGAAGGATTGGGAATTGTGATGAATATGAACATATCTGAGCCCAAAAGGCAGGCATAGACTCTTTTGATGTGATGGGCTCCACCAAAGCCATTCTCAGTTCAAGTTCCAAAAGGAAAGCCTTATATGGGCATGTCCTGCAACTTCCTGGTGGATTATACTTTGATGTGGGATACCATTTCCTGGGGATAAGCACATTGCTCTCCTGTGAATGGAGAAGATGCAAGCTTAGAAGGCACAAGGGCATCTGGGTTCAGGTGGGTGGGATCTCTGTGAAGGAGGTTCACCGGATGGTCATACGCACCCTTGAGTTCTGAGAAGCCACATTCACCATTCCCCAGCTGGCTAGTTCTAGCTCTTGATTCAGCTCCTGGGTTTCCCTGGCTCTCCAAGAGGCCTGTTCACATGGATTGGAGAACTTCCACGGAGACACCCTTGGACTAACACAGCATTCTGGCCTCAGGGTTGCTGTCACTGTTACACCGTATATCTCATAACATAAAGTAAAATTTAAACAGTCAACAAACTCAGCTGCCAGGATGATGGCTGGGAATTTCCCATCCCAGTAATCGTGGCACAGATTACCGAAAATGCCCACCTGCCTGAGAAACACGCACATTTGGAACACACCGGGAAATTCATTAGGTTTGGTTTTTTATTTTTTATTTTTTGTTTTTCACCCTCAATAGGGCAACTTTCCATTGATTTATGTAAATCTAAATATGTCATATTTCTGGGGAGCTCAAGATAGAGCCCCTCTTGGAGTTCTTTGCTCATGAAGGCCCTGTGCAAATGGTCTCATCAGGACAGTTCCAGTCAGGTGTGCTCTTCCCTGGAAAGACTGTTTAAATTCTATGTCTTTTCCAAGTTTTATTTGCCACATACTTTAAAATGTTCAAGATGCTTTATAGCTGTAAAGTTTTTCTGTTCTCGTGAGCTTATGATGTTATATTTTATTACATAGTTCCCAACTTAATGTTCAAACTGTCAGGATCTCCACAAGGCTTAGGACTGAACCGCCAGTCAATTTGTGAAGCATAAGTTCTTGTGAAACAAAGATATTAAAAATAGACTCACGAGGTGCCCACCCTTCCGTAGTGCGTAGAAACTGAGAGAGGGGCAGGGAACCCAGGAAGTTGGTTTTCTAGGTAAAAGACACCATGGGTTCTAAGGAACATGTGTACCCAATCCAAGAAAATTACATTTTGAAAACAAAGTATTTATTTGAACACATCATTTTAAAACCACAACCTTTTAAATTCACACTTAATGTATCTTATTTCTCCCAGGAATCTCACACGAAACAAGCTGACGAGTTTGTCGAGGAAGCATTTCCGCCACCTTGACTTGTCTGAGCTGTAAGTAATGATTTTGTCGGACATTTGGGAGAAAATTTTCAAAAGAAAGGATAATTGGTATTTTTTTTTTTAATGAGTACCATTGCAAGTTTGTGTTGCATCAAAACTCTTGAAAAATGATTTCTCTAGTTTTGCCCCAATTGGGTGATTAAAATCTCAATCTCAATTATATGTCATTATGATCAGCTGAATGCTGTTTTTACATAAATAATTTATTTTCTAATAGAGGGAAAAGAGAAAAAAAACAGCAGGGAGTTTTGTGTTAAAGTGGCTTTATATTTTATGTCTTCTGGCTCCTGTTTTATCCAAGCCCTAAAATAAAGCAAGTTCATCAAGAGGAAATTGCAGCAGATAAAACCCTTCCAGCTTTGTCAGTCTCAGGCCAGCAAAGGTTCGGATGTAGCCAACTGTGGAAGAGAGACCGTTCTCCACCCCTGCCATCTCTGGGAGCTTTTCTCCGAGGTCCACCACGGTGCTCAATATTTATCCTTATGTTCCAGTCTCCTCTTCTGTTAAATGATAGGGAAAACACTGAGATGTGTTGATGGCCGACAGCCAACACCTCAGATGGTTCTTGGTGTAATCACCATGACGCAAATATGAAGGCCGCCATTGCTGTGGGCAGGGGCTTGAGGGATACCCAAGGCAAGCCCAGGGCTGGAAGGACAGACCTTAGAGGGTAGGAAGAAGCATTAGCTTCAACCACTTAGAAACATTCAGGGACCAGTCTCAGGATTTCTTTTCTTCTCTGGAAAGTCAGGAATGTGGGGTGGAACAAGAGTAGTCATGCATCAAAAGCCGCAGTGGGACTCTTCAGAGCTCAGGGCAGAGGAAGTGGGTTCCAGGGCCACTGCCCGGTCTGCTCCTAGACATCAGAGAGGTGGGACGGTCCTTGGGCTCTGTTCCCATCCGGGGTGGTTCCTGTCCCCACCTTGCTGTTGCTTCAGGCAGTGACAGGGTTAAGAGGTGTCTTGGGCTCTGAGTACCAGGATGAAGTCCCCTAGAGAAGAAGGCACAATGGAACCCAGCCTCCAAGGCTGACATATGAGCATGTGTGTCAGGTACATCCAGGCTGGTGTGTACACATCTGAGTGCCAGCTGCCCCAAGCAGGGAGCCCCTTGGCACTTCCACGGAGACAGTCTGGGAACAACTCACAAGGGCTTTGGACCAGTTTTTTGCTTCAACTAGTAGAGAACCATACTGCCAGAAATAGCTATGCCCAGCAGAGCTAAAAGGCAGGTCTGAATTCTGAGGTATAGGGTATGTGTATGGGGGGAAGGGGTTGGGAAGGGCAGTGGGGATGTGGTTAGGCCTTGATCTAACAGAGTGGGAGACTGGGGGTGATGGCACAGTCTTCAAATTAATGCCAAAAGAAGGAGTGCTCATCGGATTAGGTGCTCAGGACAAGGACACAACCCCACGAAGAGGGCCCTTCACCATGCTCAGGTGCACCGTGCATCTATTTTAAATAGATACCAGGTATATATCTCATTGGGGGTATAGTATATTTGACATTTGTATGTTGTATATAGGATCTATACATATCTTATATAGTGATATTCTGATTATACATATATATGTTTATATAAAATCTCAAATATGCAACACTCACTTTCTTCTAACTCTTTTGAAATATAAATTACTGTTTGATACAGTAGGTCTACTCTACTGTGGAACGCTGTGACTTCCTCTGCCTAGCTGTGATTTTGTACCCAGCTGGCAGCCTCCATTGCCCTTCCCGCCACCCTTCCCAGCTTCCAGTCACCACTGCCCTACACCTTATGCCTAGGACACTAGCTTAATTTGCCCCACCTGTGAGTGAGGATGTGCGCTGTGTGCCTTTTTCTCACACAGCAAGAGATGTGACCCTCTCAGAGGCAGGTATGGGACACAGGGCAAGGTCCTCCAAGTAAAGGCCTTGGGTGCCACTGTGTAACCTTTCCTGGATGAATGGAAAATCAGAGTTCTACTTTCCAGTTCATGCTTCGGCATCCTGCGAGCTGCTTGCTCACAACAAATCATTCACCAGGCGCTGACGGTGTGTAGGCTACCTGTCAGAACGAAAGGGAGAAAATTCCGTCTAGGATTCCATCCCTTAGTGGGAGAGGTGGGTGCCCAGGCCAACCAGGGCAGATAACACGGGAAGAGAGGAGAGAGTCAGCCCTCTGCCGGCGCTGTGCGGCCATGTGAGCATCCTGGGTTCATAATTGAAGATCCCTGCCTTTTTTTTTTTTTTTTTTCCATTTGGCTTATTTGATTACAGCCTCATTTTAGAAAGACGTTGGCTATTTGTGTATTCGGAACTCTAGGAACTGTCTTGGGTGCCTTTACTTGGAGCCAATGGTGGGTCTTTTCTGTCTGCTATTCCATGCAGTATAACATCAAATCCTGTTTGGATGTTGGCAGAATATTTGGAGATGAGTGAGCAGATAGAAATTAAGCCAGTCCACCATGACCACATTTCCCCTTCACCCCCCAAGAAACTCACAGGAAAGTCTCCAGGGACCTCTGAGATTCTTAGAGCACAATCAGAAAACCACAGGAGTAAACGATGCTGCAAAGCCAGGTCCCATCCTCAGGAAATCTTAAGCATTGTGGTTAGCGCCAGGCAGCATCTATGTAACGATTGAAAATGGCCTCATTTAAAGGTTCATTATCATAAATGGAATTCATCTTAAATAGGCCGCGGAGCATTATAAATAGCATTAAAGATTTTCCCTGTGGTTTTTGTTTTCCTCTTGACCACTTCCTCTTTCACCCACTGCAGTACATAAGCATCCAGACAGCATGGCTGAGGTCTAGCACACCCTCCGGCAGCAGGCTGCACAGCTCAGCTTGGGGAGTCCAGCATATCATCCCCAGAAACCCTCACTGGGTTGAAGATGTGCATATGTGTTCTCTACCTTCCTTCCGCCCAGCTTAGCCCTTAACCATCTTGCATGAATGAAAAGGACTCTGGTTGCATAATGCAGAAAGGCCAGAGAGACAGCCTCCTGGTTCCTGCACCTCAGCCTTGGATCCCGATAGCTCTAATTTCATTTTAAATGGAGACAAAATGGTTCTACTGGGCCTACTGAAGTGAGAACTCTTAAGTATCTAACTTGTATTAATGCTTCTAAAATATTATCACTGACAGCTTCACTTACGCACGGAAGCAGCCCCCTCCCCCTCGTGAGATGCCCTGCCGTAGCTGTGTGTTGTTCGGATCTGTTTTCCTGCATGCTCTGTAAAGTTCTGCATTTCTTCGCTATCTTTAGTGTCTACAGTGTTTGCACAGAACAACAGCACAGTAGTTTTAGATACTGGGATGAATAATAAGCACTGTCACGCCATGAATGTGGCCATGCTGTTCAGAGGTTGACGCCGAAGACGCTTTCCTCCTGTGGTCAGTTCACAAACACCAGCGAAGCAGAAACTTGTGTGGAGCCTGACCGGGTTGTATTTCTGTCCCATGTAGGGTCCTGGTGGGCAATCCGTTCACGTGTTCCTGCGACATTATGTGGATCAAGACTCTCCAAGAGATGAAGGGCAGCCCAGACATGCAGGATTTGTACTGTCTCAATGAAAGCAGCAAGAACACGCCCCTGGCAAACCTGCAGATACCCAACTGCGGTAATTTATTTTAGATCAATGGGTTCTAGGGTAAATTAATTATTCTAATTGCCTTGGTATGGTAGTGAGTGGTAGTGAGTCTGGGGAGAAAACCACTACCCGGCTTCACAGAGTGTGTTGTGGGTATGTCTGGTGAATCAGACGTTTACAGGCAGTGTGGGGAAGCCAGCCTGGAGCACCTTCAGTGAATATTCTTTCAAAGTAGAACATCGCTTCTGAATGGCTGATGTTGAAGAACACAGGGATAAAAGTCTACTGTTGATTCCCTTGTTGATTTGTCTGCCAGTCCATCTGTCCATCCATCTATCCACCTCTCAGCTCTCCCAGAAAATGTCCTTGAGGAGTCCAGCCCTCCCAGGTCACCTACATAGGCCATGCAGAGGGAAGGACCTCGGGGCGCTGGAAGAGTCTAAGCCGAAGCAAATAGTCCAAACCTGCAGCCCCTTAGGCCTGCCTTGCTGCCCCACACTGTGCCGTGGCCGACTGTGCTTCCATCCGCTTGTCCCTGTATCTGAGTTCAAGCTCCCGTTTTCCCCAACATTTCTAGAGAGTTTAAAATAACACCTTAGGGCAAAACTCGGCTCTCAGAGCTAATGTCCCGCAAGGAGGACAATCAGAGTCAAGGTTAGGATTTTAGGACCCCGTGCCTTGTTTCTAGAACTCCCACACGTGGGTGTTAGTCCATCCGTACAGCTTCGATCATTCCAACGGGGGTGGGGCAAGCTCTCAAAGATTCTCTTCGCTCTGACCCAGGCGACTGGTGACAAAGCAGGGGATTACGTGCACCTGATCGGTGTCCACAGGCGTGTGTGTTAGCCGTTTGCCTTCAGAAGCCCCTGTTTGAAGTCCCACTTTTATTAAAACCAACACTATGGCTGCTTACCCTTGAGGGGATCTTATGAAGATAATAAAGCGATAAGCGCTGGCTCCTTACTCCGTGCCAAACAGATCTCTCGGGTGCAGAGAGTCTTCTGCTCTCCTCATGGGGGAGTTCCGCTCTGTTCTCTTGCCGGCATCCCTCAGCCTTCTCTGTCAGCCAACCTTAAAAAAAAAAAAAAAAAAAAAAAGAAACAAAACTCCCAGCACACCTAATATCGCTTAGTAGGTGTCTATTCCCAGCTGATGAGAGACAGCTGTCTCCACCTGGGTGCATGCTAGAACTGCCGAGAGAAACTGCCGAGAGGGGCAAGAGAGTCACTGTTGAGTCCCCTGGTCACTCGGCTCCCACCCAAATCCCCACAGCTGTTTTGGCCTTCTGATCCAGGAAACACGAAGAGAGCATCTGACACAGGCCCTTGTCCCATGAACCGCCTCCAGCTGGTGTCTGCTTTGTCTTTGCCTGACATCAACTCCCTCTTTATCCATCTTAAAATGTGGCTGCAGGGTCCTGACGCCCTGACATGGGCTCAGAGGTCACCCGTCCTTGGTATGGTTGACCTCTGAGATCCTAATAGAAGAATGTTCAAGGGAACCAGATTCTTATTTTTTTTCTTAAGTCTATTTTTGATATTTTTCTGCGGTGTACCATACAGTTCATGTACCAGGCAAGGGGCTGGAGACTGAAACACACAAACACACAGAGACACTGACCATCCTTGATACCAGAATGCCCCCTTTATTGGGCAGCTTATCTAGGGATAGCCACGCCCCATTCAAACCCACCAGAAACCATTCCCCTGCCATCAGGAACTTCTGAGGGTCTCGTGCTCAGAGCAGCTGTAGGTACTTAGACCAGGGAGAACAAGTTGTTTACAAGAAATTCAGTATCTGGGGGTTCACTGCTCCCCAAATTTTTCATTTCTTTTGTTTTTCTCCACAGTTCTTAATGTTTGAGAGTAACATTTTCACACACACAGACACACATACATATACACACACACTCCTTGCAGGGAACTGAGGTTTTATTGACACGCTAGGACTAAATGGCCACATTTGTGATCCATTGTGGTGTTATCAGTGCTTGTTAGAGCAACATTTGGGGCTGTGTCGGTGAATTTGCACACTTAGAGCAACATTTGAGGCTGTGTCAGTGAATTTGCACACTTCGGTGTCTGCCACTTTCCTGAGGCGCTTGTTTGGACTTTCCTTACTCATCTGTGTTTTTCAAGGCATTTTTATTTATTTGCAACTGCATGGATAATAGAAATACATTTTGTCATAAAAAGTATTTTCCTGTACTCTATAAAAACACATTTAAAAAAATTTATAATCATTTTAACTCAGTAGTGACAGGCCCATTAGAGTCTAACTATTACGAAGCATTTGTGGTCAAATGTATCTTAATTACACTAAGTGTTCTGTGTTGATGGCTATTTGGCTTATTTCCCATTATAAAGAAAGATTTTATTTTTATTTATTTTTAATTTAAAAAAAATCATCTGTATATGTATGTGCCTGAATGCATTACGTGCACCACAGGCATGCAGTGCCCATAGGGGCCAGAAGAGGGCACTGGATCCCCTGGAACTGGAATCACAGATTGTTGTGAGCCACCATGTGGGTGTTGGGAACTGAACCCAGTACTCCGAAGAGCAGCAAGCACTCTTGACTGCTGAGCCTCTCTCCAGCCCCAATTCCCGTATTATTGCTATCACAGTGTTTCCACAGCATCCTTCTTCATGCTCCTGTAAATGCTCCTCCAGAAGACATCACAGAGAGCTGAACTCCTTTCTTAGGTGAACCATTAGAGTCTGCTACACCCATAATTTACCACTCTAGCAAGTTATATGTCCCGAAATCAGCAAACTCTTAAAAGTGCTGCCTGGTCTTTGAGTGTGTAGTGTCCCGATTATTAATATTCTTCAGTGTATAGCAAACTGACTTATGATTTGGTAAATGCTCCTCTTTCTATGCTTTTCTCAGTTCTCTGTAGGATTTCCTCTTTTCTTTCATTTATTTTCATCTTTAGTTTCTGGTTTTTTATTTGTTTGAAAGTTACAAAGTACACTTCTGATTTTTTTGAAAAAATAAGAAATCCAAAACATTTACTATATATATTTCACTGTGCATTTTCTGTGCCTAGAATATATAGCACCAAAAAGGGAAAAATATTTATATCTCTTTGCATCTCTTCACCCATTTCTTAGTGTTTTATCATCTTAAATTTTGTCTTTATTTTTTCTGTTCAAAAGAAAATGTTTACAAGCAATTGACTAATGATTGTATTGGGTTTCATGTATTGCCACTTATTAGAAATTACCAGAAGATGCAAATGACATGATGTCCTACATCTGTAGCAACAACAAAAGCATTAGGAGATAAATAATGCACTTTGAAAATGTTTATAAAGGTGAGTTAATAGGTGATTCAGAAATACACTGGAAAGACAATGATCTATGGGTTTTTACTTAAGAAATCAGAATTATTTTCTTCCATATCACCATAGGTGTGTATTCCTGTTTGAATGGCAGAGAAGAGACACCAAAAACATTTGCTATACTCAGACACATGCATGAGTAAGCCACAGGGAGAGAACTGGGGAGATGTTGCTTGATGGTGTTTTTTAAAAGCTTAAAAATACATTTAAGATTTCCATTGGTGGGGCTGGAGAGATGGCTCAGCGGTTAAGAGCATTGCCTGCTCTTCCAAAGGTCCTGAGTTCAATTCCCAGCAACCACATGGTGGCTCACAACCATCTGTAATGAGGAGGTCTGGTGCCCTCTTCTGGCCTTCAGGCATACACGCAGAAAGAATATTGTATACATAATAAATATATATATATATATATATATATATATATAAAGATTTCCATTGGTGCATACCTATTGTACATGCTACTGGGCCACCTAAGGACATTTTCAATCAGTTATACAATGTTCTTTGAGTGCATTGTCTCTGTGCCCCTGTGTCCCCTTCCACCCCTCCTATCCTTTAGTCCTCTTTGTTTCCTTGAACAATTTTGCTTCGGTTTTTACGATATCTATGTGTTTTTATGTATCTATGCAACATCCAGTACCTGCAAATGAGAGAAAACATGGGGTACTCGTCTTTCTGCAACTGGCTCAATCCACCTAACATGATTATTGGCCAGTTGACATGAATTACATACTTCATTCTTCAGCACAACTGGAAAGCAGGCCAAGGCTCTTCAGTCATTTCCGTCAGTGGGCACTGAGGTGTGTTGTGTAACTTAGCTGCCGTCTGTACAACTGCAGCAAACGTGGATGATCTGAAGCTGTCTCTGACTTGGGATCCTGGTGTGAGTACCTAGACATGGTTGAACTTGGTCATTTGGTGGTTCTAGTTTTGGTTTTTCTGAGGAGGCTCTGTAGATACTTCCACAGAGGCTGTGCCACTTTATATCTCTCCAAGCAGTGTGTGAAGGTTCCATTTTGTTCATCTCAGCAGTATTTTTTTTTTAGCATGTGTTAATGTCTGTGATTCTCACTGGGGCAAGGTAAAAGAGATTCTTTAATTTCACGCATCTGATGGTGAGTGAAGTTGAATGTTTTTTCCTCCTGCTGCTTTGCTGAGAATACTTATCAGCTCTAGGAGTTTTCTGATGAAGTCTGTAGAGTCTCCTGCATATTACATTATCTAAAAATGGGGAGAATTTAGCTTCTTGCTGTCTTGTTAGTACTTTATTTTCTTTTCTTGTCTTATTGCTTCAGCTAATACTTCAAGTACTCACTCTTACTGTGGAAATGCTTTAGATTACCCCCATTTGGTATGATGATTAGAGGTTTGTTACATACAGCCTTTAGTGTGTTGGAATATGTTTTTCCTGTTCCTAACTTCTTGAGGGCGTTTGTTCTAAAGCCATGCTGGATTTCATCAAAAGCCATTTCTGTGTCTCTGGAGATGATCCTAAGACTGCTGTACTCGAGTCTGTCTCTGTGGTGTATTATATTTACTGATTTGTAAATGTTCAGCCGTCCTTGTGCCACTGGGATGGAGTCAACTTGCTCACGGTGAAGGGTCTTTCAGACGTGCACATGCGCTTCAGCTGCAAGTTCTTGACAAGTTTTGCAAATATGATCATTGGGATACTGCCCTATAAT